ACAATTCTAGTCATGTCCCTACCTTGGCTGATACCTTTCAGTAGCCTCACCCCCTGGCCCAGAGTAAAATCCAAATGCTTAACCATCCCTTCATAATCTGGCCCTTAACATGCTTTCCAACTTACTATCCCACTATTCCTTCCACTGAGAATAGTCACCTCTTCCCACTTCCATCTCTCAATGTCCAAAAGAGGCCTACTTTGCAAAGCTCAGCTCAAACACTATCTTCTGCAGCAAAGGCCACCCCTGACCACACAACACATACTCCCCACCACTTCCCTATCCTGAATTTTCAAAGTAACTCCTAAGCATTTTTCACCTTCCACCTTACAGTAGTTTTTTATACACATGCTTTTCATCTCCCAACCTACACTGGAGTTCCCCGTGAATAGGCTTTAGGTCTGGCTATTCTTTTTTAACCACCCACTACATCTCCCTCGACCACGACTCTATGCTCACCCCATCCTCCACCCCACAGTGCCTTACTAGGTGGAGTTCAAGAAATACCATAGCCAGGCCAGCCCCGCGGCTTAGCAGTTAAGTGAGCACGCTCTGCTACTGGCAGCCCGGGTTCGGATCCCGGGCGCACACCAACGTACTGCTTCTCCGGCCATGCTGAGGCCGCGTCCCACATACAGCAACTAGAAGGTTGTGCAACTATGACATACAACTATCTACTGGGGCTTTGGGGAAAAAAAAGGAGGAGGATTGGCAATAGATGTTAGCTCAGAGCTGGTCTTCCTAAGCAAAAAGAGGAGGATTAGCAGGGATGTTAGCTCAGGGCTGATCTTCCTCACAAAAAAAAAAAAAAAGAAATACCATAGGCCTACTCAGATTCAACAAGAGACTGAGGACATAGCAATTTCTCATTTTGTTGGGCATGACTATAAATCATGATAACGTCTCAACTACAGCAACTCGCCTTGCCAGTGATTGAATCCTGCATATCTAAACATGATTTAGTAAACAGTAAACAGTAGCTATCTAAACAGCAGCTCCACTCTGGCACATCCACAGTCACTGCAGTCAATGGATAAACTTTCTTTTGAATAAAATCCTCAAGGAGAAAGCTAACAGCTACTGCTGGTGACAGAAATGAAAGAAAGGGAAGGAAGAGAAAAGAAAGGAATGGTATTGAAATGGAGAGTGCTTGAGAAGTCTCTAGACTATATATAATTATCAATGGCCTGGGACATTTGTTGAATGAGTAAAATAATGAAAAGATAAATTTCAAAATTGGAAAAGAGAGCAGTTTCTTCTTCCCTCATTTCTACCAGCCTATACTGATCAAGCATTTTCTGGAATAGTGCTGTCCAACAGCACTTTCTGGAATGATGCAAGTGTTCTATTAATCTGTGCTGTCTGCTGGTATGGGAGCCACTAACCACATGGCTCTTGAGCAGTTGGAATGGGGCTAGTGTGAATAAGGAACAGAATTTTTAATTTTATTTAATTTTAATTAAGTTTAAGTAGCCATATGTGGTTAGTGGCTACTGTACTGATCAATGGCTGTCCAGAATATGGAATGTCTTCATCTTGTTACTTGAATTGTTGTCAAAAGTATTTTCCTAACCAAATTTCAGTAAGCTAATAAGGGTCTATGATTAATTTTCTGTTTAATAAACCATTTACATTTTTTTCCAGTTTTCACTTTAATTTTACTGAGGAAGGGAAGGAGAGAGTGGTTTAAGAGGAGACTAAGAGAAAGACTGCATCCCAGGGTCAAAATGTCAGGCACTGTGCTAAAAGCATTCTTCATACACTCTTTTGATCCTTACAGCTTTAAGAGAGAGATCATCCCTCTTTTGAAGTTAAGGAAACTGAGACTGAGAGCAATGTATTGACTTGCCTATGATAACAGCTTAGTAAAACTAGGATTCAAATCCACATTCAACTGCAGAGACTGAGCTCTTAGGCATTACAATTTAATTGCTAAGACTAAAATGGGCCAGATGAAAAGTAGGTATGGCGGCTCCCAGCAGACTAATGTTATTTAGAGCACATTAAAAGCTGGACCAGTCAGCTTACTTGACAAGAGACTAAGAATGTATCCAGGCAACTTTTCTTGATGTCTGGTAAATGATCCTCAATATACTCATCCGTTCCTTCAATCACAGGCATGATTCTAAGTTGGAAGATACAGCAGTAAAGACAACAGAAAAAGTCTCTGCCTTCTCGGGGTTTATATTTCAGTGGGGAATAAAAAAAAATTAGGGAAGATTTCTAAAGAGGTGAGAACTGAACAGATAACCTGAATAAAAGTCGGTTAGCTGTGTAGAGAAACTGAGGAAGACTGTTCCAGGCCAAGGGAACTGCAAGGACAAAGACGCAGAAGAACGTACAAAGAACAGCAAGGAAGTCAGTGTGGCAAGAGCACGGTGAATGTGAAGAGAAACAGGAAATAAGGTTGCAGTGCTAACCAAGTGCCAGCCCCTATTGGAACTTGAAGGTTCTTGGAAGGCTTTGGAATATATCTTAAGATCATGGAAAGCCATGGGAGTGGGGAGGAGGTGTGGAGGGATAAGTGTATTGAGAAGAGTGGGAGAGACATGATCTGATTTATATTTTAAAGGGAACACTGGAAACTTGGTAAAAATAGATTGTGAGGAAGCAAAATCAAGCAGAAAAAGTAAAAGCAGAAAGACCATGTAGGAGGGACTTGTTGAGTGATGAAGAAAGCTTAGATTAGTAGGATAGCTGCAGAGATGTAGCGTGGAAGCAAGACTAATTTTAGGACAGACATTAGCTAAATATATACCGTCAAACCAATATCCATGGATGGATGGAAGGAAACAAGGTTGGTTTCTAAACGAGTCACATTAAGAAGTAACTGCATACTCAGTCTCTCCAGGTTCTATTTACTATTCCTAGAGGCTATTTATGCTCAGACACACCACCAAAAACCATTATTAGGGAAGTTCCCATAGAGTGTGCTTACAGATAATGCAATTGTTACTGACAGATTTTTCCTATTTGTTTATATTTAAATGAGTGTCTCAGAATAAATGTAGCCAGCTCTGACCAATTCTGATTAAAGTACAAGCAGCATTTAACACCCCCGCAAAATATTTTCTAGCTAATCTTGCCTTCCCTTGCTTAACAAGCACCTTCAGTTTAATAAACTAACTAGCCAGAGAATGCCCCCCTCAATTCTTCCTAGTCAAAAGTTTGCAACATTGTTTCCAAACAGCTTAAATCAGAACACAGGCCAGGAAACCAGAACACGAAAAAGGTAAAAGAAAAACTGTCAATTCAGAACCTCAAGACTTTGCTTACCTAGCTATCCTCCCTTGCCAATTTAACCCTGAAAGGATGGTTTGTTTGTTTAAGGTGCATACTCCACTGGCTAGATGTCTCTCAAGGATACTCTAACGCATATCTCAAGGCAGCTGCAGAATAACAATCAGTATACTCAGCTGTATACTCAGCCAGTATGAGCTCCTCATGGCTGGAATCTGACTGCAAAGCACAGCAGGAGCTCAGTAAAACTGCTGAATGAAAAAAAGAAGCTGTCCTCCACAATATCAACCTTGGCAATGCATTCCCAAAACGCTCAACTCCTCTTCCTAGTGTAAATGCGCTGGACTACCTCATTACCTCACATAAGGCCTTCCTGAACCTTTCTACCTCACTGTTCTGAGCAACAAGCTCCATTCGCTGGCTGCCTGCTGTGTTAAACAATGTTCAACAATATTCTGTGATTTATCCAAAACCTAGCTTCAGGGGATGCCTTAGCTTGCTTTCTGTTCCTTTTATTTCTCCGCTGCTTTCATGCAATATTCAGCCAATGTTTCCCCCTTCCTGAGGTCTAGCATGGTAGAAAGAGCAAAGACAAAAACTGGGTGCCAGTCTCAGCTATCTCTATAACTTTGGCCTCAATTCCTTTATCTATAAAGTGCAAATAACACCACACCAAGCCTCCTTCACCAAGTTGTTCTAAAGTCTAATTCAAACGAGAAAAGCCTGCAAACTGTCACGTGCCGCCCAAATCTAAGATCCCAATAAAGATGGGTTCAAAGCTTAGCTCAAAACCAACAGGACGGGCCGTGACGAGCACAGTGCAGCCACTCAATAAATATTAAGTCAAATAAGAAGTATTTTCCTCCGATAATGGGGTCAATAAGAGTCGCACACTGGTCAGGTGCGACAGTGTCACTGTAGGGTCTCTGGCAGGTAACTCCCCATCTGTGGGCCTTCTTTCCTCCAACTGTACAATAAGGCTTTGACAATGAAGGATTCTAATATTGCTACGTTAAGGGAGGCACCTGAGAGGCCAAAGTGGCTTTACTTGCAGTGTCATAAGGAAAGCACCAGAAAAGAGGGTAAGGACTGGACTTAGAGGCAAAGGGGCAAATGTCTGGTTTAGCACATGTCTTACGAGCAGTGTGACCTTGGCCAACTCTCTTGCCAAGCAAACCCCCTCCTGCGGTCCACATCTGGAAACCAGGGGCAGGAATCCCAGACGGCCCGAACCCCGGGGCTGCCGAGGAGCCCAGAGACTACAGCGCGCGCCCTCTGGGCACGCTGGCCAATTACAGCCGCGGCTCTCCCGCACCCCGCACCCCGAGAGGAGTCCCAGGCTCTTCCGCAGGCGAGGAAGGTACCCCTTCCGGATGCGGGACGTGCCAGGACAGCAGTTTCGATTTCCTAACAAGAAGGGTTACTTCCCCCGCCGTCCCAGCACCGCCGGTAATCAAAGGAGCCTCCCCCGCCGCCCTCGGGATCCCCGCGGCGCACTCAGTCCCGACACCGGACCTCCCAGCCCGGCTCCGCAGCCCGCCGCGGCCCCGCGGGGTCGGGACGGCCGCAAGGGCGCTGCCATAGGAATAGCGCTCAAGACCCCAGCCCGAGGCGCCCGGGAGAGGCTGGAGAGGAAGGCTCGCGAGACCCACTGTGCCCCATGCGACCACGCCCGGCCATCCCCGCTCAGGGCTGCTTCACCCAGCCAGCAGCGCCCCCACAGCTCCGCGCCTTCCCGCGCAGCTCCACAGAAACCCTACCTTCCGCCATGTCGGGCCCGGCCCTGCCTGCAGCCTCGCGAGAAGCGCACCGCCCAACTCGGGCGGCGCGTAACGGAGGCCTCAAGTCTCGCGAGAGTCATGGGAGGCCAGGCAGAGGGTGGAGTGGAGACTACGAAAGAGTGGTGAATGAAAGTGGAGCAGGTAGCTGGACACCGGAAGGACAGAGAGCCTGTCCCTCTTCACCTAGTACTTTCGAGGCTCGGGACTTATCAAACACTGACTGAGCTCTATCATATTCCACGCCCTAGGGAGGGCACTGAAAAGGATGGACACAGCGAGCGTAGACTGCTGTACTCTTTGGAAAAACTTGGCTATAAGAGGGTCGAGAGAGGGGTTTTGTTGGTCTTTAGGTTTGTTTGTAAAGATGTGAGAGGCTGAGAGAAAAGGGCCAAATGAGAGGGAAAAGCTAATGACGGTTCAAGGTCCCTGGGGAGACAGGGAGCCCTGCAAGCGAATGCAGAAGGAATTGAGAAGGGATTAACTTTGGACAAGAGGCAGGTCACTGTTATTCTGCTAAAACATTTGGAAACAAGAACATGCATGCAGATAGATGTGAAAGGGGAAAGAGATCTATCAGGGAGATCGCTTGATGACATCAGTTTTATGGTTGAAGTTTGTAGGCAAGGGTACCAGACAGTGAAGAAAAATTTGGGAGAGGAATCTGAGGTTGGAAGGTCTGGTTTCAAGTGTTTCCTGAATGTGTGGATGGGTCACTTTTTTCTAGCAAAACTCAGCCACTTGGCTGCAGAAGCAGAGAATATGGATTATAGCATTTACCCAAGGCTTGGGATTTACTGCCAAAAAGAAATTGAGAGTGCTGTAAGAATACAGCTCAGGTGCAGACTGAGTAGAGGCCGATGTGGAGTCATAAAACCACAGGTCTCTGTAATACTGAAGACTAGTGTCATGCAAACAAGGTTGTGGTCAGGGTGGCAAACTGAAGTTCATCAGTTAAATAGCACTAGCAGATGATAAAGTCCAGGACAGGGCCATGGAATACAGTAGATGAAGTTGAAGTGAGAAGCTAGGAAAATTAGATATTGGAATTTAGAGGTAGGGAAGGAAGGAGACCATAAGCCACGTGCTAAAATCTTTCCTGAATATGGGGATGACTAATAGCAAAAAAGAGGGCTAAAGAGTAATATAACTAACTGAATAGCATGAGAACTTTCAAAAAGATTTTTACTCAAAGGAGAGTCAAAAGGCTGATTGTACCCATTCCTAGAAGCATCAACAGTTAAGGACTGCAGGGGAAGTGGTGGCCTTGGAGAAGAGCCAAGAGTAGATGATAGGTTGAAGGAAGGATCTGAGAACAGGATACAGGTGTCAGAACAGAAAAGGGGGGGATTTGAAGTTGGAAAAGTTTTAGGTGCTGCCAAAGTTAAGTATTAGCAGGTAATGAGGTGGAGTGGTGAAGGAATTTGAAGTATAGTTCATGGAAAACGTAGGGTCATGGGGTTAAAATTTTGAGGAAGAGGGAGGAATTCTGGCTGAAGGACACCTGGGAAATAGAAGGGGAGAGGGTATTGAAATGTGTAAGAACAATGGTGCACTCAGGGAAATGATGTTCCAGTGTGGCGGGAGACTGAAGATGTGAAGGAGGTGTGAGCAGGGAGGTACTTAGAGGAGCTGCACTGAGCAAGCAGCACTTAAGACTAAGGAGGGTGGGGGAGTACTTGCCAGGGTCAATGGAGATGCCATAGCTCAAAGCTTCCCTGTCTGTCAAGAATGGTTCACAGGTGTGCCAAATGGTGAGCCCTTGGGGCAATCAGGGTGGCCAGGCAAGCTGCTCTCCTCCAGCCACAAGCAGCCTCATCTGTTTACCTTAAGAGTACCCTACAAATATTTTCTGGGTCATAATATAAAAATGACATAAAAGCAGTTGGGAAGTACTCTCATAGCTGATGCCTGGTTTTGCATCATATGACTTATCTTTGCCTCCCCAGCATCAGCCTAGCATCTGACATACAGCCCATGCTCAGAATGTTTGATGAGTTGTTACACTGTGAGCTATACAGGGAGTCAAGAAAACTAAGTTCAAGTTTGGCTTTGCAACCGATTTGCTTTGTTGATCTTGGGCAAGTCCCTGCAAGCTGTCTCAGATTCTCCATCAATTTCAAGGAGTTGGACTAGAATAGAAGCCATGGTTCTTAATGATTTGGAGGGTCATAATCCCCTTTGAGAATTTCATGAAAACCAGGGACCCTCTCCCTTAGAGCAGCACACATGCAGGAATAAACAAATTTGTGCCCTTTCAGTTTGCTTGGACTAGATGCCCACAATCAAAGGAGAACTCACCTTAAGGGATTCAATCAACTCAACGGCTTGACTACCTCCTCATCACAACCTGCCTTCAAGAAGCCTCTATCAGAGGTGAAAGCACTCCTCTTAGAAATGCCTGTAATATAACACTCTCTCTGAACCTTTGTCTTCTGAGGGGACTGTTACTGGTTTCAAACCCCTGAGCTACAGAGGACTTCTTAATAAAGCATCTGTAGTACTCAATGGACTATAACACGCAACAGGCTTGGATGGAGCTACCACGTTAGATATGACCTGAAGTACAGACATTTTGAAAAATCTGAGCACTAGAACATGGTACATTTTAGACCTAATTCAGGTTTTGCTGTCAGATTAACTCAGTGTGGAGTTGTCTCAGACAGGGAGCATGACATGCAGGGAACAGACTCTTTCTGGGGAGACCGGGTCATATCACGGTAGAAGGGGGAAGGGAGGGAATCACTAGATTGGTAGTCCAATGAATTGGGTTCAAGTACCAGCCTCAACACATCCACAGTCTATGTGACCTTGGAAAAAATGTTCCTAAGGGTTAACAGCACCCAGTATGTAAGGAAGGTCATGGAACTGAATCCCGGCTGTGAAACTTACTGGCTCTACAATCTTGACAAATTAATCGGAAACTGTTTCCTCATGAGAAACTATTACTTTGGAGGATCCTTGTTAGAATTTTACTAGATCCTTTATGAAACACGCCTAGCACAGGCCTGCCACAAAGTAGAGACTTAATAAATAAGAACTTGATCTCTGTTGCTCATTAGGAATAAATGAGATGTCACTGTGAACACACAAGTGCCATTATACTTATTCCTAATGGATACATCTGCGAAGGGGGAAAAAATCAAGCATCTTGCCTATAACTTTCTGTGCAGCTCCTGTGTTTAAGATGTGTCTGGCTACCTTTTGTTGAAGCCTTTTTCTCCGCCTTCAATTTATTCCACCTATGTGAACAGGATTCAAAATTCTTTAATCATTTCACTACAGCTCAGTGTGGTGTGCTGACTCAAAAAGCCAAAAAGCCTTAATCCTACCTCAGCGGCCAGGTCACACACATCTGAAACTGAGCAACCAAAAATATTTTTTCCTGGAAATAATTTGCTCTGCAAACTGAATCCTGTTCAGGTTTGCAGTCCTCCAGAAAGGAAAAAATTTAAATTTGGTAAGATGGTTACCAGCCCTATCTTTATGAGGGGGAAGGAGAAAATCAACTGGTCCTTTCTCTAAAGCCCAATGCCTTGCACACAATAGGCACAGTCAAAAACCTGTTCATTTGCATTTGAAGTAGCATGCAAATAAAACGTTTTTGCTATATACCTTGAGTAAATGATTATGCATAAAACTGCTATTTAAAGTTCAGGGACATCATCTAGGCCCTTCTATAATACTTTTATTTCACATATATTTATCAGGGAAAATGAACTCTGAAATGATCCTCAATCTCCCCCAAACTGCTCTCAGAGAGGATTTTCTTCTTGTTTCTAACTCAGCATTGATTAAAAGGACTGGCTCCATGTTCTTTTCTGAGTTGGCAAGGAAGAAGCCTTAATAGCCACTGGCAATTTATATCAAGACAAACAAGCTTTCAACACCTAACACTGTAACTCCATATGAACTGTATGTAAGGATGCAGGGTGAAAAGCTGGATGTTGACATCCTAGTAAGGAAAAAAAGTACTCAGTCTTGCCTCTTTTGCCACTAACTTACTAACTGATCCTGGGCAGGTATTTGGGCCAAGTTTGCCGTTTAAAGGAGGGAAGGCGGTGATTGAGATGGTACCTGTGGTCTCTTCCAGTTCACAGTTGAGTCTGGGTTCTTCACCTTTTAGCTTATCTTTATGGTAAAGCCAGTTTAGGCCAAAGACAAAATCTCCAATAATGCTCTAACGCGTGCTCATTTTATTTAAAGTTCTAAATCAGCATGCACAGAAACCAATTAAGAATGGTGCTTGGCCCTGTACTGGAAATTTTAAGACCATTATGTCAGGTTGGAAGTAAACTTTCCACCTTCATTTCCTTCTTTAAATGAAGTTTTAAAAATCTTGATCAAGGTTCCCCTGTGGACCCTTTGGTACTATGTGCTGTTCATATGGAAATAATCCCACAACTTGCTTTTGAGACCTGCATCCTAAAACCAAAATAGCTCATGATACAGCCTCTAAGTCATCATTTATTGATTTATAGAGCACCCATCACATGATCGAGGTGCTTTACAATACAGTAAACATCACAACAGAACTCACATAGTTAAATACAATCAACAAATTACAGAACTAAAAAAAACTGGAATGAAGCAACATTATGTCAAATTTCAAAGATGCTGAGAAGTGGCAGTACAAAAAGGTAATTCCACCAACTGGAGACCAGACGGGCAAAAATACACAGGCATCACAACCCAAAATGGGCAGATTTGTAGAGGGTGAGTGAGCATATAAAATAAAATTTCACAAACAAGAGTGAAGGCCATTAAAGATACTATGACACCCAAGTGATCAGAGCACTAGTGGAATAACCTCACAAAGATATTACCTTATAATGACAAGAAAACCAACCTCATATGGATTTCAAACTCACAAAAAGAGGCCAGAAAGCCACTGAGATCATCCATCCCATTATGAGCACAGACTGAAATCTGTAAGCCTTCACAAGAACCTGGAATAAATTTAGGAAACAGCCAATAGTTCTACAGTCCATAAGACTATGTAGATGTTGTTGATAGTTGGCACAAAGTTAGGGAGAAAAATCCTTTTC